TTGTTTATTTTAATTTATGTAGAAAAAACTACATATAGAAATTAGTAGGTAATGTTTAAAAATCATGTCTTAGTTTTTTATCAGATAAAAGTTTACATAAATTTGTGTTAGCTGTATTTATTAACAGTTTGGAGTTCCTTTATAAGTTTAAATATACGAGAGATGATTTCAGCATAATAAATTATAGGTATTTTATTTAATACATTTATAATAACAGTAGTCATGTGCAATAATATTTATAGAATATTATTTTTAAAACTTACATTCATTTTCACAATTCTCGGAAACGACAAATACAGTAAGTTCATAAAATTTCCGTTTTACTAGTACGTGTATATATGTATAGACAAAAGTAATGTGGTTTGTAATACATGGTTAATCATATAAATACACTTAACTGTACAGTTGTATGGTTAAATGGTTATATACTATAATAATAACAGTAAATTTTGTATTCAAAAATAAATTGTAGTTGAGAGTGTATTTTAAACAAGTTCGTTTTCAGTACAAAATATAGCCAGTCCGTAGAAAAATCAGTGAACCGCGTAGTGTCACAGCGTTGCGGTACAGAGTAATGCGACCCAATATCGGAGCACAATAATGTCTAGTTACTGAATTGGACTGTAACGTTAGTCTCATGAATGAATCATCGCAATCGCGTCCCCAGACGCGGGCGGTCGTATTCGATTAGCACGAATAATTCCGAAAGGGAAATTGAAAAGCTAAATCGATGCCCTGAGGACTTGCTCTTTCTGTTATTTGTGGGCAGCTGCGGTAGTCGGCGCCATCAGAATACTCAACTAGCTACACTATGTCCTTACTGTGTTCGCTTTTGACATTATTGTTATAAAATATTGTTATTTGAAATGAGTTTCTTATATTACTATTTTAATTTAATCTAAACTCTTTTGTATTACTGGAAACAGAAAATAGGTTGATAGTTTAGTTGACGGATTGATAAACTGATTCATCTGGATTCTGAATTCTTTCTGATTCGTCTTATTCTGAATTAAAAGTAGTAATCGTTATTTATATACAAACAACGTTAGTCAATGGAAATTAATTAAAAAAATATGATTTATTTTTCAGTATTTTCATCGAGAAATTGTTAAATTTCATATGCGGTCTTAGTATAGGGTTAATTAAAGGCGTTAGTTGGTCACATTATTTGTTTTGTCTTTGGATCTAGTTGTAAAACAGTAAGCAGCCACGGTGGGGTTTGTCGGTAATCCAACGTTAATTAGCAGTTTGTTGAGCGTCCTGCGAGCGTGCAATACGGTTGTGTAAACTTACCAGCTTGCAGTATTAAATAAAGAATTTTGTAATGTAAGTATTTAATGCAGTGTTTTTCACCTTTATCGAATGTGATTAGTAAAGGGGTTGTATCCCTTTATCAGTGCAAACATTCTGAGTACCTATTATGTTTTATTCTATATAGCTATTCAGGATCGTATTAAAATATAAAATATTTATTGCGTATATAATAAAAATGTCTATTAGATGAAAATACGGGTACTATCTATTGACAGGGTAGGACTAAAATCGAGGATAAAACTATTTTTCATTAGTATTTGGTTAAATAAAAGAAATTTAAGAAATATTGTTTTAGGTATCAGTAAATAGGTATATAAGAAATGCAAAATATTTTATTTAAATGTTTATTTATGGCGAATTGTTTATGTAGATTTTGTTCGTCGAACAAAGCTCGCCCGCACCTTTAGCGGCCGACTGTAATGTAACGGAGTAACGTGCGCGGCATACGAGCGGGCGTCTAACACGTTGTTTTGTTACCGTCTGGACTACACTGGGCACTGGGGCCATACCATACAGTGAATTCATAATTACCAACAAATTATGTGGATAGGGTTTTGTTATGGTTGTGAAATTGCTCCCCCAAATAAGTGCACGCTAACTTGTTTAACTTTTGTTAATTTGTTTACGTTTATTACAAAGTTATTTCATTGAATAATAAGTAGTATAAATAAATAACATATTGAAAATTCGTACCTTGATTCTTTGCTTGTATTTATATTATTTCCTTGTCAAAAGAATTAATAAGAAAGTGATGAACAAAAAATAAAATAATTAATGATTTGTAATTTACAATATATTTTATTTATATCAATAAATAAATTTATAAACATGATTGAGTAACAATTTGGATGATATACAATGATTGAATGAACTTTTACAAATATTAAAATCACATATAACTTTAATTAGTGAATAAGAAATATAAAATAATGAATAAGCTATTTAAATTATATACAATGTCTATATAAATTATTTTGTATATAAATCTATAGATTTTTTTAAACTCATCAAAATATAGGAAATCTCTTAAGTAATTGAAAAACAAAATTAAATAACATATGGGTCAAGATAGACTAAAATGAACTTTGCAATAATTAACAAGCAATCTCGCGAGGCTGTACCTTACTACTGCTAATCTCACACTAATTACTGGTCAGAAGACTATTGGACTTGAAACGGTACGGCCAATGCAATTAGTAGAACAGTGGATAGAAATAGGATTTACTGGACATTTCAGTAATAAGCTTAAATGTATTTTATTTACATTCACTATGAATTGAGTTTAATATATTTATCATTATTACTTCATATTATTAATATAAAAAAAAACCATGAATAGCGCTATTATTAAGTTCCTTTTTAGAACTATGAAATAACCATCGTATTGGAAATGAAATTTGGTATGATCGCAACGCAATATAATCCAAAGTAAACTCATCCCGAAGATGAAAGGAACACAACGAAATTCTTAAAGGGAAATATTACTTTGCAATTGTGAAATTCTTCACAGAAACAACTCGCGACGAGGTAACGTTCATTTCGACAAAAGACGAGCAATATTCCCTGCACAAAGGAAAGCACCCGATATATTCAATGCAGTGACACAAGAAATGCCAGCGCAAAGCGGTAACAAAGCTTATATTGAGGGTTACGTCGTCGTAGCCAAACGCCATCGCTCTCGCGGTCGGTCCGTGATAACGCTACGCCACGCGCCCCACCTTGGCCTCAACTACGACAAGTAGGTTTTGTTCTCCACAAAAAAAAAAAGAATCATTTCAATCATAACAATTATTTTTAATACTAACTTCTAATTATACTATTTAAAAGGATTAAAAGGTTTTTCGTAGATATATGTATTAAATATAAAGTACTAGAATTTAGAATACGGAATCTAAACAAAATAATGATTTGGTTTAGTAACAAGCAGTAAAAACAATTATTGTTAAGTACATATAATATACTATTTACACTTGTGTTAAACTTTTTCCCTAAACACTAGACATTTTAACACAACTGCATAATTTATGGTAGTTATTAGTTAACAAATGTATGGACATGTATCAAACACGATGTATTTTTTACTTCACCTAGGTGTAGATGTTTAACAATATTTTTTTTTGATTCGCAGTCTCTAATCCCCTAATTAAGGTATTTCGATATTATCACTCCGGAAGCTCTATGGTAATCTGCTATAGAACTGACAACCCTATAGTTGTCAATTTTATGTCAGATATGACTAGTACATTGCCAATTCAATATACAAATTCTTTGAGCGTTATCAGTAATTTTAATTCTTTGACGAATTAGTTTTGAAGTTAATCCCTCACGTAAAGTCAATGCAATGGGAAGGGCTATTATTTCCATTAATCGTTGACCGATAGCAACTTTTAATTTACCATCATCATAACAGCCATGTTATGTCCACTATTGAACATAAGCTTCCCCCGTAAATTGGGGAGTTTTGCCAATAGTTACTACTCTTGGCAGGCGGGTTGTCAACCGCAGTTAGGTTTTGGTGATGTTAAATTTATTAAATATCATTAGGTTATTTGCTGGGAATAATAGCAATTATCTATGCTATTTGTGACAGTTGTTTATATAAAGAATGTCATGTTTCCATAGAACTTAATGAAAAGTAACAAAGTTTTGTGGAAACTATCATAGAAAAATTCTTTAAATGAAATTATTCAATTGGAAATATTTAATCAATTAATATTTTTTTTATTGTACTGTTATTAATCAATAGCAAACTGTTTTATGATCGGGTCTATTAATCGTTGTAATAACAGTTTCAGCACCTAAATTTTAGCTTGTAATTACTTTTAAGTCATACACTAACTTTACAGACGATTTAGGATTTCGAATTTCAAAATTTTAACGAATAAATGAATTCTCTATCACAGATAGCTTATGTTACAAATAATATATCAATTCTGATAAATTTCTAACTCACCGTCGGACAAGTTCAAGAGTTCGTGAAATTATTCTAGAGATGTACGCATGCGTCCGGTTTACGCGCCACCCCTAAAATCTTACGACCGCCTCCCTTATGATATCTTTACCTGTAAAATGAACCCTCTGTTCTTAAACATAGAGGTTTCTGGTTTAGAAATTCATCATTGTACGAAAATTTGAAGTTCTCGTCATCTTCGGTTCTAAAGCCGTCATTATGTGCGTGTAGGAAGAATTACATTTTCGTGACGTATTCTCTGAATTCTCTCTCTACGGCTGGTGTAGATTTTTTGAGTAATATTTAACTAAATACAACTTAAATCGTTCTGTTATAAGGTTTGAAATTGGTTGAACATTTTCAAGTGTGTGGAATAACTTTATACACCAAAAGTGGATTGAGTGTTCAGTTGGCGGTGAGCCTTGGCGCTGGGTGAACGAGCCTCCTCGTCTGCGTCCGCGCTAAACCGTAACTTATTTCGTAACAATTTTCGCAGATTGAAACCAATTTAAATATAAGTTATTTTGTTAAATTTGGAAAAAAAAAATATTTTATGTTAACTATTATTATAATAAAATAACTGTTATTAGTATATTATGTTTAGTAAAAATGTAATAAAAAATATGTGTAAGAACTTAGTTTTTAATCAAACAACAGTTAATAAAGAAGAAATTATGTGAGTACTTATTAATATTTTATGGATTGATTCAAATTAGTTGTTTTTATAGGGTGCCAATAGTCTGTAATTGGATTTTGAAAGCATCGAAAGCATCAATTAGATATCTTCTTTATTTCTCATAAATATAAGTTTTTACTTCATTCAGTCTACAAATATGTAAAAAATAGAATTAATTTATTATAATTACTTTAACAGAAATATGTAGGTATAACATAATTTTAAAATGGATAGGAGTGTATATAAATCATAGTGTAATCGTAGCGCTACGCAGAGTTGTAGCGTCGGCAGAGTTGGCAAGCAGAACGACTCCCGGCCGGCGCGGCAAGGCGCGGCGGTGCGCCCGCCGTTCGAGCGATCCTAGCATATTTGCCGTTTCGCCGACATTCCCCAGTTAATTAAAGCCCATTTGTACACTGTCTTACGAAATATAATTTATGAAATGAGAAAATGTTTCAACGTTTGCAAAATATTTGACTGAAATAATTTAGCCAGTGATTTGTGTACACATTTGCTTTTTGTTTAATTGGAGTGATTGGCAGAGTGATTGTAATTAATGTTTTTTGTTAGTAAGAAGAGGGGTAAAAGATTAAATATATTTATAAGACTATATGTATTTTATAAGCTTATCGCTATTAATAAACAACTGACACAACTCCACCTCCATGTCGATTTCAAATAAGCCCGCCTCAATCTTAAGCTCCGCCTACCATTCGAGGTAAATATATTCTTATGTAAACATAGTCTTATATACTTTATGGTATACAAACCTTTTTCCTTGTATAAATATATTGTATAATATGGCCCAGATTACAGTTATGTTGTTTGACAGATATGTACGGTAAATAATTTCCATTTATATTATATTACTTATAAACTTTAGGTATATTAAAAAGAAATTATATAAATGTTTACATGTTGGCATTTTCGTATTAATATATTAAACAGTAGTATTATTAGTCAAAACCGATAATCTCTTTCAGATCTAAGATTAAAAATCAAGACTGAATGTATACTTAAAGGGCAGCGATACAATCGAAATGAATATCGTTAACCGTTCTGAAACTAATGAACACTAACGGGGTTTATATCTCTGAGAACAGTGCTTATCTAATAGGACAATGTTAACAAACAAAATCAACAGAGCGAGGGAAACTTTCGTGAAGCTAAGAAGTCGAAACTGTGTATACAATGTCCGGAAAACAGTGAGCACTAACAAGCCGGCCATCCGAACTTGTTAAACGTAGCGAGCAGATAACCGACGAATAATTCTGGCGGTTGGTCAGCTCCCAAACAGACAGTTGCGAAGTGTGGCTTCGTTGTGGATGGGAGAAGCTGAGAACGACTAACACTCTCGTGGTTATGCATGGAAACTTCTAACTCTACTGTAAAAGTGTCTCAATAGCTACGATGGAATCGCAGTCCTTAGGCCGCACCCGACAAACTCCTACGGCGAGAAATCATATCGTCTACACTGACCACAAAGGACGAAAGTGAGTATTATATTAACTTAAAGAAATTGTCACTAATTCTATCAATATTTGTTTTTAAATTTTATTTACAACTGTCTTCAAGTAGTTAGGAGATTTCGTTTACAGTTTTTTTAGTTTGCAACAGATTTAAGTGTGCTTATTTATGTGTGTAGATTAAGCGGAATTTATATATAAAATTTAATAAGGAAATATTCTAATTGATATGTATATCTAGTTGAACTGAAGACTTTCTTTTGTAGAATATATCAAATTATATTAAACTATGCTTATTACTTTTGTATTAACAATAATTTAATTAGGAACTCGAATTAACTAATTAAATATAAAGGTATAATGTTATAAAAACACGTTGTTGATTTTTTATAACAGTTTGAATGTGGAGAAATATATTGGACAGCAAAATTCAGAACCTTTAAACCAAACAAATGAGTCCTATTATTACTCTCAATTTAGTCTAACAAGCAACTTAGAGTCAAAGATTCGACGAAGCGAGGAACTCAATGGCCGTGAATTTTGTAATCTTCATTAATTTCCTACTGAACTTTGGCTGTTTCTACTGACTTTTGTTTTTATTAATTTAACTCTACTTCTTCAAAAACCATGCAATTTGTTTATATTTTCTGCAATGATGCAAATGTCTATTTAAATTTTATATTAATTTAATACCACTTTGTTGCTTATAATATAAAATTATTTTAATAACAATGTTACTTTTCTTAAATGTAGATAAATGAATAATAGTATAATAAGTATAATTTTTATCACAGCTCATAATTTAATTATTAATAAAAAGGAAGGCCTTGCTTGTCAGTGAGATACAACACAGGCTTTGAAAATATGTAACTTTAAAAATGAAAATGATCGATGATTTAATTAAATTGTTAATATAATAAAATTGTACCATAGACATCATCTATGGTACAATTTAACTGTACATGGGAGGTATTGAAGAAAATTTATATGAGGAGTCCTAATAAGAGTAATAGAAGTAAACAATTTATGTTAGAAATTTTGATTGACTGTCTGTGTGTTTGTTCAATCATTCCGCAAAAAATACTGCACCAAATTATAATCTGTTTTCATAGTTATATTCCTGAAGGTCTAACTTAAAAACTAATGTAGGTTTCATTTTAAGATGCCATTTAGAAGTGTTCCATACCATACCATTTAGGTGGAATTATTGTTTTTTTTTTTTACTTCAGAAATCCACGCGTCCAAAGTAGCGAGCAAAAAGCTAGTTAATATATAAATTTGCGTAGTTTCTTATCACACATTTAGACATATAAGACTTAAGGCGTGTTATGATAATTTAACATTTTATTTCCCAATAAACAACACTTATGTCCTTATTGTCATAGGAGCAAAGCCTTTTTGTTGCAAAAAGATTATTCGGTTCAAATTTGGTGAAGATATTGCATACTTAAAAATAATACAGGCAAATAAAAAATATCCTCTTTTGAAATAATTTAAAAACGTAAATTTATGTGATGAATTTCAAATAATATTACACTCGCGTGAGGGTGACGTTATATTTATTTAGTATCGTTGTTTAAAAATATTTACATGTAACATGCACTTTTATAGGTACTTTAAGCTGGAAAGACAGGCATATGTTCCAAATTATATTTTGAATATTGTACATTTTGAATATGATAGCTGTTTCAATATTTTAACAAATTTAATATACATATTTCATCTTTATATTATTACGAAATTTATTATAGTTGTTGTGCACGAAAGTATTTATGTAATTTAGAGTAGTATATTAATTAAAAAAAAATTAAATAAGTCGATTATTAATGATCTTTAAAATTTGAAAACATTCGTCTTTGAGTTGTTGCAAAAGAAATTTTCATATAAATTAAGTGTAAGAAAGTTTGTAACCACTGAACGAATGGCGACAGAGTAAACTTTGTAGAAGAATTTAAATTCCACCAGTGCTATGACGTTTTATTGTTACTTCATTTGGTTTGTTCTTTACGTTATCTCATTGTGTTTTAAAACATAGCTTTCCATAAATTAAATGTTTTTTACATTTATATGGACAATATTGTATCAATTATATTTGCTAATCTTTATATAAATATAAATATAATATTGTATCAATTATATTTGCTAATATTTACTAACTTATTAGTAAAGCCTACTGTACAAACTTATACTTGTTCAAAAAAAGAATCCTTACTACACGATATATTGTTAATTTAAATTGTATAATTAAAGTGAAAGTAGTAACTCTTATATTGAAAATTCTAAAGTTCCAGTGTTCCAGTGTGAAAATGTATAGGATTTTTTAATTATTCAATAGTTATTAATTTGTAAATGGTAAAGAAATTTTAAGATGTAGAACAATTCCTTCATATTTTTGAGTTCTATAACTCAAATAGTAACAACAAATTCCTACTTAATTCCTATAGATTACTATATTATCCGTCTATTTGTAGGCCAAAATTATTTTCTTTACAAAGATTAAAGGTTAAATATATTAAGTACCCATGACAGTTACAATTTCTGATGGGGTTAATCATAGGCATTTGTTGTTTTTGTTGTGGGAAATATAAGAGAAAAACTATAATCAGCAACAAACACGGGACCAGGACTCTCAAAGATGCAAATTATCTGAAATAAATTACTTTAAGGCCCTTGAATTTTCCCTGTTTTTCCTTTTTTACTGAGAGCTATCTCTCTTATAATATTTAGTTTTTTCTAAAATACTACCATTCTTATTAATTTTTATTTAATTGTCACATTATATTACAAAGTTTAGTTAAAGTTCAGTTTCATCCTTTCCTTTAAAATAAACATTATTCAAACTAAAGAACAAAATTGTGAGAGTATTCAACTCGAATAAAAAGTATGAAAGCAAGTGGATGGTTGTAATAAAGAAATTTGAATAGAAATGGTCCAATGGTCCACGTAGGCACTGTCTAGCGGCCGCGGGGTTGGGGTGCACACAGAGAGCTACTGAATGTGTGTCGCGGAAGGACAGTGGAGTTACTTGTACAGTTTCCGTTAGTCACATTTTCACAACAAGGTATTCACATTTCGAGGACTGGAAAGTTGGCGTTATCGCGTTTAAAATAGAACGACAAACACATCTAACTTTGTGATGCAAAATGGACACGTAGCAACGGAAAAACCATTTCGGCTTCTTATTTTATTTTGGCCGTGGACAGGAGTCTAATTCATTTAAGTATTTCCAAAGGGTTCGCATTGTTATAATTGTTGTTTGAGGTTTACAGATGGGAAAATGAATTTTTGTTGCATGTAAGTCATAAATTGTGTTTGCTATATTTAACGTTCATTCTGCTGTCGGCTACTGAGTAATATGATTAACTTGATTGATTCATTTTCCAGACGCGACTATTATATGCAATTGTTCATGTATTTCGCGTATGACCAAATTTAACATTCAATATTGTAATGATTCATTACTAACTTAAACATGAGTTAATAGATAAGTATTTTTTTTTTAAATACAATATATAAATTAAAATTAGTTATGTCTTTATTCCAGTATAAAAAAATACGAAGAGCTAAGAAGTAGATAACGTATTTATTATTTATTTAAATTATGTAAAAAACAAACGTTCAAAATCTGTAAAACTTTCAGACATTTAGATTCACGATATCGTTATCCTGTATCGTCCATTATTAACATAGACTAAGGATACTAAGTAATGAACAATATCGAAAGTAGTATATTAAGATTGTTCGAGTATATATTTGCCGTGTGGTCCCGGCATAGAATAGGCCTCCCTTCCTTTTCCGTAGGTGTTGTAAGAGGCGACTAAGGGAGGGCAAGGGTTAGGCAGCAGCATCCCTTTTAAAACATATCCAAAGCCTAATTGCGGTTGCCAGTCCGCCTGTCAAGCGTGGCAACTTCTGGTAAACCCCCCTAAGGGGAGGCTTATGTTCAGCAGTGCACAGTTAAAGCTAATATGATGATGACGTTGAGTATATTTGTAGCAAACTTAAGAATTAGTTCGAGGATCAAGGTGTTAGTTATAGTTTTTATATGACTGCGTTGGTTAACTTTCGCTTAATGACAAAGAATAATAATTCAAGTATATCTACTAAATTGAAGAAATAAATAATATCACAATAATATTATATGCCATCTATACAAACCATTTTAAAAAGACATAAATTAGTTTAATACAGGAAATAAACCTAATAAGATTAACTTATTGCATTAAAGACAAATGTATAAAAGCAAATTGAAAATAGTAGATTAAGAAGCTTATAAAAATATTATATATCTGCCTCCACTACTAATTAAGAACAGCCATATGGGTGATTTAATTTAATAGTATCTTTTATATTTTTTGATCTGATTATTAATATTAATTTTACGTAGATGTTCGTATTGCATGACGTAGCTGATTACTTATAAATATCTTTTTTGATTATAAAAACTCTAAGTACGGTTTTTTTTTAATTATAGTAACTAGGCATGTACTAATTAAAAGTTTTGTAAAGTGAATAACCAAGTTAAGTAACAAAGACACGAAAGACGATTTCCTTGGTCGTTGATTATACGATAACACATTTTGTGACGAAGTGCCTACATGTTCATCACATTCCATATTCATAGAGAGTTCGCCTCGACACGTGCCGAACAATACTTGGTACGAACATTATAAGTACGGGTAAGTGTACAAATTGATTTATTAAAGTTGAGCGAGTTACCGAGTTGCGCTTGAGTATTCACAGACCTTTGCGTTACACAGATAAAGTGGAAATAAAAAAGAAACTTCACAAACAGAAATCCCCTTGTCGCAAGATTTACGAGCCGACGCACCTCCAGCGCAAATAAGTTATATGTAAATTTTATGTTCCGTTGAGAAACACAGCTCTAATGTAAGTGTAAACTTATAGCTAAAGGAACATCATTAAATGTATTGTTTTGTATATTTTTTTTGTAAACACATTAAGTCTAATGCAATCAATTGACAGTAAAATAGGTTAATGATCAAAAATACCGAACTACATTAGCG